GAAAATGAAGAGAAGAGCTAGAACAGACACATCTGCCCGAAGAATTCTTTCCAGAGTTATGGCAAATTGCTCCAAGTGTGTTATGAGAGAACATGTGAAGTTTTAGGGATGATTTACCTGTTAAAAGGGTGGGATTTTTTTTTTGCTGCATTAAGAATGTGAAACAATTTGTCCCATCATAATACTTTTATTCTGTTTTAATACCAAATACATGTTTCTTGGTAAGTTTTTGTTCAATCCAGATATTCCACCTTGAAGTAGTTTATAATTCAAAGTTATCTAATATAACCTGGAAATAAAATATTTAAAAGTGGTATCTTAATGCTACTATACGTATTCAAATTGCATTTTTACATACATGGAAAAAGATTTTAAGACAGGTAAAATGAAAATATTTCCTTTTTCTATTGTGGTTAAAACAAGTGGCAGAATGACCTAGTTGAAAATAACAAATGTTGTGTATGCTGTTAATACTTTATTCAATAAAATTTATTTTTTAAAAATACTTTCTTCAGCATTAGTATTATTGAATGTTTCAATTTAAAACTTGTTTTGAATGAATTTAAATTTTTTTTGTTTTCTATTTAGGATTTAGAAGAATTCTGCTTTAAGTTTTGTATCAATCATTTGACTGAAGTCACCCAGACAACTGCCTTCTGGCAAATAGATGGTTCTTTGCTAAAGGAATTCATTGCTAAAGCCAGTAAATATGGAGCCTTTAAGAACTGAGAGGTGTGTTTGTTTTGGACTGTTATCTCCACAGCTTTCATGCCTTTTTCTCATAAGTCCAATTAATTATATCGCCTACAATATAAAACCACAATGCCCAACAGCTGTACTCTCAAAGAGATTCCAAATTAAATAGCAAGCATTTTACTTGGGTTTTCTTACTCCAAAGAATTGGATCTATTTACTGTTTTAAGTAACTCTTGAGAAAATCAGAACAGATGGAGTGGGTAGAAGTAGCTAAAATAATGTCAGAGATTGTTCTTTGCAGATGGTTTGTTAATTTTTTGTAATCACATTGTGGTACCTCATTCTTTGGAAGCACTCTGATGGCAACTGAAAGCAAACTATTTCACATGGATAAGGGGCGTTTTGAGAAAGGAATCAATATATATGAAGGAAACTTACACTCCAGTCATTTGAAAAATTGTGAAAAATGCTGCATTCCTCTATACATCTTTCTAGGAATAAGGCTCACTGAATTCAGTGGGATGTAATAAATTTGCACTGTAAGTACATTGAGTTATATAATAACTTGAAATGTTCAAGAATCAACTTGTTTTTCCTAATCAAATTGGAATTTGTGTTTTTGTATTTCCTTTGAAGTTTATTATGTTTGAAAAAGAATTACATATTGTTCTGTTTTGTGGACATAAATCATTCAAAGTAAATGACTGTTAGAAAGCTGTTTTGCATTGCGATTATGTATAAACTATATAATAAAATGGATGCCTGCCTATTGTGAATTTTAAACTTTATTAAAATTATGCACTAAATCATCTTTATGTGAGGATTGGTATTCTGGATGGATTCCTTTTTTCACCCCAAAAGTCGGAATGAAGTTAGGAAGTTAATTATTTGTGCAGCATTTCTAAAATGTGATTGAGAAAAGCTATTAAGTCTTTTGGAGTATTTGCTATAGAAAAGTTTGATCTTTCAATTATGCTTCTTTCTCCTTGGAGTGACTGATGCTTGACTCTGACTTGGTGCTGCTCATTTATTGGTGGCTTACTGAAATCAGTTCTTGGATGACTAAGGTTTTCCCCCATAGTCCTCTTATCTTGCCAGAATCAGGTGAGCTGAAAAGACCCATGCGTAAAAGGGGACTGGAGGCTAAAACATACAATGAATGGTTGCAGGAACTGGGCATGGCTAGTCTAGTGAAGACAAGGACCAGGGTAGACATGATAGCAGTGTTCCAATATTTTGAGGGGCTGGCACAGGAAGGAAGGGGTCAAGCTATTTTCTAAAGCACCTGAAGGCCAGAAAAGGAGTAATGGGTGGAAACTGAACCGAGAAATAAGGAGAACTTTCCTGATAGAACAATCAACCAGTGGAATAGCTTGCCTTCGGAAGTTGAGAGCTTCATCACTGGAGGCTTTCAAGAAGAGACTGGACTGCCATTCTGTCAGAATGTGTCAAATTCACAGCGTCACGTCATGTTGTGATGTTTTTCCCTTCATGGATCTAGGGTGGGTGTGGCCTGCACACAATATATCTCGCCTGCAGGCGCCAGTTTGACACCCCTCGTATAGAGTCTCCTGCTTGGGTGGGGAGGGGGGGTTGGACTGGATGACCTACAAGGTCCCTTCCAACTGTTAATCTGAAATCCCTAATATGGTGTCACTCAGCCTCTTAATCTTGTTTACATGAGATTTAATGCTTCCTTGTTTGTAGGAGGAAATATGCATTTCTTGTACTACTTCTGTAGGACAATAGTTCTTCACGGAACTTACCCTGATTTGTCCATGTTAAAACTACAGTATGCAGAACTGGCTCATGTGTAAGGGCCTGTCTCTCAACTTCTAACTCAAGAAAGTAAAAACTCTTGAAACTAAGAATTTAAAAAGGAACCTTTTATTGAGCAGAAGTGAAAACAGGGCAAAAAGCAAATCAGACTCTAAAACCCCTTAGGCATTACAGTTAGACTTAAGTCATTACAAACCCCTCCCTCCAGTCCAATGTGGATTCAGCCAATCCACAGGTGTGAAGATGTTATTGTAACTGCTGTCCTGAGAATCAGATAAGCAGGCATTCCAAGGATCATCTTCCTCCAGTTTTCAGAGTGAAACAACCCACATGGCCCTTCCCCCCCCAATACATTCCCCAAAAGGTGAGAAAATCTCAGGGCCCTCAGGTGCCAGGATAAAGGTTATAAAATAGCACTTGTCAGAATCAATATGAAAGAATCACATTCAAGGTCTCAATTGAATGGCAGTATCACTTTAGGGATCTTCAGAAGTTGAATTAAAGTCAAATGGCTACCACTTTCTCTATTGAAGCAGTTCAATAGTTTATTTTTTAAACCACTGCACTGCTGTCTTACAATTATTTAATAAAACCTGAGAAAAGATGGATGATGGAGGGATGGGCTACGTACTGGCAGGCTTTGAGTCACCTGTTGCTCAGTCCACTGAAATTGGCCACTCTGGATGGTTATGCCACCTGTGTGTGTCAGTGAACTGGATGCTGAACCATAGCAAAGTTGCTATCTGGAGAAATTCTCAAAAGCAATATTCTCCTCAGTCACTGATAAAAATGATACCAGAAAAGTAAAGGTTGAGAAAGCAAGTCTGCTCAGAGCTAGACAAAAGCATAATGGGAAGGGAAGGAGGTATGTTACCTCCTACTTTAGACCTTGTTGCAAATTTATCTAAAGTGTTTTGGCTCATAATTCATGTTTATTTTCAAAATGATCCAATCTTAAAATTCTGCAAAGGGTATGTAAATGCATGAATACAAATGTATAAATTTAAATAGCTATACATTATTAGAAAATATTTTTACTAAACTACTGCTTGCAATTAAGCAATTAAACAATTCAGAATGTTCTTTAAGACTCTAAAGTTTTTGTGTGGCAGATTTGCTGAAATGTTTTTTTACTTGATGTGAAACAATTGAAATTTATATAAATTGGCCTCATTAGCACAGTTAACCACTATCTAAATATGGGTATAAGTACCGTATTTGCCGGCGTATAAGACGACTTTTTTGCCCTGAAAAACATGCCTCCAAGTGGGGGGGTCGTCTTATACGCCGGGAGGACTCCGACTCCCACTTCGAGCTTGAGTTGCAGCCGGGAGGGAGGCTGGGGGGGAGCGGTGTGTGTGTGTGTGTGTGTGGCGGGTGTCACTCGCCACGCGCTGCGCAACCTTTCCCCCTCTTCCTTCCTTAGCGGTGTGGGGAGGAGAGGATTCGAAGATCCTCACGTGCGGCGTACTTTTCTTTTTCTTTTTTTCTTTTTGCACGCAGGTTTTGCATGCGGGCGGCTGTAGGTTAAGGATGGGGGAGCCCCCGGGTGGGTTATCAGGTTTTACGGTGCTTCCAACGTGTGTGAACGGTGGGAGAGCGGAGAAGAGAGAGAGAGAGAGCGCCCCGCTGTGTGAAATCTTGCCGTCAAAGCAACACTGGGGGAGGCAGGGTATAAATTTACCAGGTTAATGTAGCAATGGTGATTAATGCCCAGAACATTGTTTGCGGGTATTGGGGTGTGTGTGTGTGTGTGGTGGTGGTGAGGAGAGGTTGTCCTTTGAATGCGGAAAAGTAGGTGTGACCTTGTGTAGGAAAATAAAGAGATCCTTTTTAGCGTGTTTGGCTTCTTTGCCTCCCCTCGTTCGTTTTGACGTGGAGATAATGGCCTTCGGGCGGGAGGGGAAGAAAATGGTAGCTGGATCATTTCAAATTTCACTTACTCTCCTGCCTCACTTCAATATGTCTGAGCGACTCCAGATACTGGAAGACTTTTTGAATGAAAGTGTTACCTCCATTTTTTTTTTTAAAGAGGACCACTTGGGGAAAAAAAAAGATTCTAAGGAATTCCTTGTTTCTTGATTAAAGAGAAGGCATTGAATATACTGTTCCTTGGCAGCCTTTTCAGTGTCCGGGTTTTTGGTGTGTGTGTGTGTGTGTGAGAGAGAGAGAGAGAGAGAGAGAGAGAGATCAGCTGTATTGAGAAGAGAACGTTTCCTGTGTTCTCATTTTATTTACAACATATTTTACGCTTAATGGTAAGCAATGAAAAATATTTTTAAAACTCATTTCTAAACTCCATAGCTATTTGCATATTCTTGGTTCAAAATTGGATTAGCTCATTTCAAAATTGTCCAAAGCAGAAAAGTGCGTCAAAAAAAAAAAAAAAGTGCAAAAGTGGAAGGTGTGTGGAAGAGGGGGTAGTCTTATACTGCGAGTATATAACAAACTCTATATTTTGAGTGGAAATGTTGGGGGGTTGTCTTATACACCCAGTCGTCTTATACGCCGGCAAATACGGTATATCTTTCTCGTAAAACTTGAAGCAGGAAGAGCAGTTTCTTTGGGAAATTAAGTGAGTGTATATGATAAGAGATACTGAGTCTGAATTGCAAAAACCTTGAATGACCATTAAGTGGCAGGAAAGTATCGGGTATTTGTCTTTCTTTTTGCCTTCTAGTGATCATCTTAACCTGTATCTAATAGCTCTGTAAGATAACCGTAAACCAAACCAGAGTGATTTACAATAGTATGTTAATAATTTCATCTGCAGATAAAGTGCATATCATGAATTCACTCATTTTCTTCCATCAATTTTCATCTACGGTAATAGAAGGCATTTGAAGCCTCTTGGAAGTATACACTCTAATTTAAAACTAATGATAGATTATTGGCTAGATCAAAAAGGTCTCAACTGTAAAATTGGGAAAACAACAGTTACCCACGTATAAAATGTGTTATACCAAAGTGACCGGGGGGCGGGGGCAGTGAACATTTTAAAGATGGTGGGTTATTCAAAGATACCACTTGAGGTATTATCTGTGTCTTCTGAGACAGGAAATATTGTTTCTTTTAAATCTCTAAAAAGTTCAATCTGAGCATCCAGTTTTTCCCGTGTATTCATTAGTTCTTGAATTTTTCCCTCTGTTCCTGTATAAATTAAAATCAGTACTTAAGATTAGCAACATATGCAGGGATATATTAAAAGGTATTATTTATGCCAGGCAAATTACTATTAAAGTATATAGATTTAGAAGAGCAATGCCAGGAGGGGAAGAAGGTTGGGGAAACAGAAGGGCCACAGTCCTTCAGGGAGAATGTGAAACTTTGTATCTTAGGTGATGGGGACCATCCATTACTTTTACCAGCCCTTCTCATCTATAATTGCCTCTCCCCTCCTCTCGTTCTTTTCTTTCCCTTTTCCATCTTCCCCCCCAAAACAAAAAAACCCACAAACTTGTTTGTGAAAAATTGTCAAAGTATAACTGGTATGTAAATCTCAAAGAATAGCAACTAGAGAAGCTGCATACCAAGAGCTTTCTCCCTATTCGAGAATGGCAGAGCCAGGAACAGCAGCAATCAAAAGTATTATTCCACAAAGTCACACACGTAAATTTAAGAGTGCAACTGAAGTAAACGAGGTAGAATTATAGCACAAAGCACCAATATTGATTTGCAATAAAACAGTCGCCATCCTTTGTAAGGGAGACAAAGCAATATCATTAAACTTTGTTTTACTAGATCATTTAGATCAGGGGTCCCCAAACTTGGCAACTTTAAGACTTGTGGACTTCAACTCCCAGAATTCTTCAGCCAGCTATGTCCACAAGTCTTAAAGTTGCCAAGTTTGGAGACCTCTGATTTAGATGGATAAGGTATCCATTAACTCCAAACGTCTATACAAATTATGTAAGTGGGCCAATTTGCATCATTTGTATTTATTTCCATTATACAAATGACTAAATGATGCAATTTGTATTATTTGCATCATTTATATAATATCATCATAAAAATGCTCCAAATTGCCACTGAAGCCATACAGTTAAAATAATGCTTCGTTGTTTTGTGGAGAGGAAAAATTGATTTGTACAATAGCATCTGAAGCCTGCTAAATGGAGGTTTCACTGTGTTGCCTGGATGTATTATTTGCTGAGTTTTTTTTCTAGATCAAATGACTGACATGATCAAAGGAACACAGTACTAAAAATAATACTGCATTCTTATCTGTATTTATTTGTATTCTTCACTAGTTTAAAAGGAATAGCTTTGGTTCTACAAACTATAAGAATTGTTACATTTTGTTTCATACATACCTGAATGAGCTCTTCTAAGAATATTTTCAAAGAGATCACAATCAAAAAGTGATATGACTATTTTTTCATACTCTAAGGATAGAAAGAACATGCTGATACTTCTTCAAAAACACAAACTTCTTTTAAAATATGCATAATGATAATGATCAGAAGTATTTTTAAAAATCACCTTTTCATCAATAACCATACCCGAAGTTGCATCTAAATTCAAAACATTAACTGTAGAGCAAGAGATTTCTAAAGATGTTTATATATATTTATTGAGAATTTACATTGTAAGCAATTGAGGAAAGTAGACTAGACAATTCATTAAGTTCATTAAAGAAAAACATTTTTCTTTAAGGCAACTCAAATAAGAAAAACAATTTTAATGAAACATGCAACATTAAACACGTTAAAAACGGCAACAAGAAAGAATCAAATCCAGGCCAATAATCCTTAAATTGGAATAATGTTTTTAAGGCAGGGGTAGATTCTAACATAAAATGGTAACATTTAGAGAGCAAAAACAAAGCACTGAAATATATTTTCTAAATGAAAATCTCTTAAAGAGGCATATAGGACCTTCCACAAAATTTGTGATAATACTCTTCAGAACGTAAAGGAAAGTAGGGTAGAACAAACTCATAGGAGAACAAGTACTTAGGCAATTTGCTGACATCTTAATGTATGTTTGGGACCAGATAGCTTGAGGAATGATCTACTCATAAACTTATTCACACTTCCATCAGCTATACAGACATGGCATCAGCCAATAGAATATTTTCTATTGGCTAATTTCAAGTTGAGAATAGCTTGTTCTCCTATATTTTCCTTTATTTTCTGAATAATATTATCACAATTGCCAGGCAAGGGTCTTCCACAAAATTGGTGACAGCAAACGAAGAAGGAAAAGAAGGTATACGAGAATAAACTAATCTCAATTTGGCCATTAGCTAATAGAAAATACTTAGTTGAAGAACTGGAAATAGCATGACTATTGAACAAAACTGAGGTCATGGTCTTTGATTTGAGGATATAATACATTTTCACTTAAAAAAAAAAGAAATTTAAGTTTACAGTAGGAGAAGATGAGAAATAACAAGATTAGTGGAAAACACTGAAATAATTCTGGTGACATGGCAGTGGAAAAAGCCAACAGGGCTATAGAAACCCCTTAATGAAAGCCTGAAAACAAAAATTACGTAGGAAACAAAAGGAGGGACTGGTGACCAAGAAATACAACCAGGTAGATAGCTAGCTTTGCATATAGAAAAAACAAGCTGAAGTGTAGGAAGCCTAGAACAACAGGAAGGACACTAAATGAATTGCTCTATAAATTGTTCAAAGAAGATGCAAAATGATAAAGAGTTTACTAAGAAGAGAGAGAACCACAGGTCCTCACTTAACAGCCATAACAGGGACCAGTAGTGTTACTAAGTCAAGTGGTTGTTAAGTGAAACATCTATGTGACCATTCTGTTTAGTGTGATAGTTCCAGACCAATGAAAAATAAAACAGAACTATTTACTCCTGTGATTTGCAAAATATAATTATTTTGATGCAAATTAACATTCCATTTGCATTTTTAAGCCACGTCATTCCACTGATTTATATTTAGTTTGCAGTCAACCACTGTTTTAAGATCTTTCTCACACGCATGATTAGCAGATAAACTGCAAGAATTATTTAGACCAAACTGGGATGCATTCAGGGGAGAAAGATGATAGAGGACTGGAAACTCCAAAAGAACCAGGAACATTTAGCTCTGAGAAGTGAAGACCATGAGGTGACACAACAGTACTCTTGGGATCAAACCTCTCAGATAGGAGATCTCAGACAATTGAGAATTCCATATTCTTTATAATACCTGCTTCTGGAGTATTGTCCTCCATCAGCTTTTCCTGTGCCAGGAGAAGAGTATTTGACATTTCCTCAAAGATTTCACTCAGAAGCCCAGCCTGCTTACACTTCTTTAAAAATTCTATTCTTTCTGTGGAGAGAGAAATACAATGATGTGCACTTTATATTTTTAATTTCATGTTCATCTGGCACAATGAAGCACTGTCCAATGACAATTATTTTCAAGGCATAAAGGCGGAAGATATTATGAGTAAAAGGTGTGGTGTGGTGATGGACAAGCATCAGGAATGTTCCTCTCAGAGAGATCAACAGATTGGTTTCTCATTGAAACAGCCAAAAGACAACGCCTGATCTTCTTATTCTATTTCATTATTTTGTTTGATTTTATTTTTCTCATTCAATGAATGAATGTATAAATGAAACAAAAAAGGATTCTGGGTGACTAACAGAAAATTAAAAAGATAAAAGATTATTAAATAGGTAACCAATATAGATGCTGAGATTTAAAAAAATCAAGCAACACCATCAACTAAAACAAGGTACAAGCTCAACTGTACAACCCAGTCTCCAAGCTAGCCAACCAACCCAGGTTTTTAAAATCTTGCAGAAAGCAAGAAAGGTTGGGGCAGGTACAAACCTCCGGGGAATGACATCATAACATCCTCCGAGAAAACCCAGATCACTGTCCCTTGTAGACAGACGTGAAGCATGCCTTTTAAGATTTTAGAGGTTTAGGATTTTATTACAAGGAGGCAATGCGGTCCAATCTACTGTAAGCATAGTAAAAAATTGTCTGCTACAATGTTTTGCCTGTCAACGACTTCTTCAGCTTCAACTACAGTAATACACAGCAAACAATTGATGCAAACTCAAGGTAAACCACTTCAAACTCGATTGCAGAAAATACGACTTCAGCAACAGAGTGGTCAACGCCTAGAATGCTCTACCCGACTCCGTTATTACAGCCTCAAACCCTCACAGCTTCAATTTCAAATTGCCTACTGTGGACCTCACCCTATTCTTAAGAGGTCCTTAAAGGAGGCGTGCGTAAGTATAACAGCATGCCTACCGTCCCTGTCTTACTGTCCCCATTTATCTGTATTTACTTCCTTTGTTCATGTTTATGTTCATACCTATACTTGTTATCTTGTACATGTTTGACAAACAAATAAAGTAAACTTAATAAATAAATAAGTTAGGAAGAGAAGATAATTAAGTTGAAACTATTAACTGAATCCAGCAAAATCTTCCCAAATGCAAATTCCCCTTCCATTAACAGGTGGCTTTTGAGCTATTAACCAATAGGCCATAAAAGCTGGACCAGCCCAGTGTGTTTAGACATGCTTCTTCAAGAGAAACAAAATAACACATTTCCACTTCATCTTGTTTGAGCCAAATAGTTCAACTCTTTCATGTTACAGATTTCTATGCAGGAATGAAGAACATCATCTTTATAATTCTCCATTAATGGAGAATTGAAGAATTGCCTCTAAGAAAGGAGATGCGATTTATAACTATATTTGTAATTGGAAAGTAAGAAAGTTGCATAAACTGCCTTAGGACAGAAATAAATAACAACCATCACCCCTATATTAGGAATTCTAACAATTGACAAATATAACCCATGTTTTACCTTTGTGTTGGTCATGTTTTTCACTGAAGACTTCCATGTTCTCTTCCTCAACTGTCTCATCAGTCTGCCAATATTTTATTTGAAATAGCACTGTTATAAATGGCCCAGATTAGTGATATAACTCATATCGCTGTATATTCATTTTTAATAAAGTCAGTCTTAAAGTACATTCTTCCCAAATGGTCTAAAATTATATTTACATATCTCATTTATTAGTAAAATAATTACAATAAATCTTTATAGAGGACTTTTACAAGTTTTTTTTTAAAGTTTTGTTCCTAAATTGTTTTGATGATTTGATGACTTTTATACTAAAAATCCCCCAGAAGTGCTCACATAGCAAAACAGAAAATTCTAAAACCTATAACACAGGATGGCAGTACCAGCATACAGATTACCAAGAATAAAACAAAAAGTCACTGTAGTAGCAATATACTTCCAAGTAAAAAAAGTAGAGATATAAACTATTAAATTTTCAGAATCTGACAGCTCAGATTATCGGCTTCTCTTAGATTGAGAGTAAGGGTTGAAATGCATCATTCACTCGTGTTCTCAGATTAATTGGAAAAGACATTCCTCTCTCAAAAATTCAGAAACAAAAAAGAATTCATCAGACAAACAGCATTTAGTGGGTGGGTATCTAGTAGTAGGCTTAACAGCTCTACATTCAACAAGGATATCAGTGTCTAGCGATGTTACAGCAGTGGCAGTTATCAGTCAGAAAATGACACAGGTCAAAATAAAAACAAAATAAAATTGAGATGCTTTAAGAATCTGAAATTCTGCCTCTACCAGGTGAGGCCATGTGAGCCTGAGTCACAACGGAAGGAGGTGAAGAAGTGTGGCCTCCTAAAAGTTTTAGAAATGTCTCACTGAGACACCGAAAAGCAACTTCATTACCATTTGGGTGGTAGTGGAGGAAGATTCCACTACGAGCACGGGCATTGCCTTCTCAGTGTTTTTATCTAGAAAATAAAGTAACGAAATATTTTATCACACAATTTCCTGCAATACTTCAAGAGAAAAAAAAACCAGAAAGAAATCCCAGCAGATTCATGAGATCTCAGGAATTTAACTCTTGAAGTTCTAACTGATGTAAGCACATTGGAATTATGTTTGTTAAGGTTGTCATCCTATGACTCCCTTGACAATCATCTTCCCAAAAATGACTGCTCAAGGCATGGAAAAAGAGACTAAATCAAGAAGCCAGGAGAGTACCTGCAAGTTATAATATCTAAGAATCCAGGCAAAAGGCAGTTTTCTGTGTGTGTAAACAGAATGAAAATCTAAAATATTGGGATAAAAATAAATGTAAATGGGCCCGGTTGATATTACTGAAAGTCACAAGCAGTAACCGCTGTCAATAATGGTTTCAGTCAGGACTTTAGTTAGCTATCCAGGCCCTGCTCTACAGAATTAGGAGGATGGTCTCCAGAGCTTCTTACATTATATGTTAACAATAAATAATATATGGAGTCAATTAAAGCAGATTGGGGAATAAGACTATTATTAGTAGTAGTATTAATTATGCCAGAGTCAGACTGTTAGATAACCATATGAGAATAATACTCTTTATATATTTTCCTGCCATTTTATTCTTTGTTTTTTATCTTAATTCAACTTCATTGTTTTAATGGTTTTAGATACTTGATTATAACTATGTATATTGCCCAGACTCACTGTGTAAGATTGGCAGCTGTACAAATGTGATTGAACAAATAAAGAAATTAAGCTCATATTCAAACCACCACCACCTAAGTGCCCTGGGTCTTTTTTGTGGAAGAGTGGCAAGGAGTGTTGCAACAATGCTATATTTTTTTCTAAAATATACTTCAGAACCCTTGCTAAGACAGAAACAGATTTGAACAAATTCACTAAATACATACCGCAAGAACTGGATTTCTGGCTGTGTTTTTGGCAGAACAAACTAGTAGAGAAACAGAAAAATAAATAAACTTATAGAAGCAAATATTTTCATTTTTATAAAGATTTAGCAAAGACAGATGAGTAATCAGGAATTTTTTTGTAAATAAATAAATAAGCAGACAATCAGCATTCACACCAGAAGAATAACACGTTCCTATCCTATCAGTTGAGGATGCGTACAGTATATCCTTTCTACAATGCTACTAGGCTCAAGGAAGAACTTTCAAGATCTTGTTCTCATTGCAGAGAGGAAAAATGGATGGTCAGTTATGCCAAAACAAAAGCAGTAGCTTTTTTGTATTGTAATTACTGCTGGAAGATAAACGGTAAAGATAGAAAGAGTAAGCTAAGCCCTTTAAAAACTTGGAATCATATCTCCATCATTTTTATTTATTTATTTATTGAATTTATATTGCCGCCTAATTCACCCATGGTGACTTGAGGCAGCTTACAGAATGTAAAACCATATTTAAAATAAAAATAAAAACTAACAAGAATCAAATAAATTAATAAAGTACAATAGAACAAAATCTGGAAAAAAAAAATCACAAACCCCAACCCCAACAACATCAGATCACACAAACTATTTGATAGGCTCTACCCCACTCTGGGTTCCCCAGGCCCGCTGGCAGAACCAGGTCTTCAATGCCTTCTGGAAGAGTATTAGAGAGGGGGCCATTCTAATCTCTGGGGGAATGATGTTCCAGAGGCCCTTCTTCTTGGTCCCACCAGGTGTATCTCCCTCAGCATTCCCTGCCTCACATCTACCCAATGGGTTGGGTAGATGTGACCGGCAAGAGACATTCCCTCAGATAACTTGGTCCCAAGCCATGAAGAGCTTTAAAGGTGACAACCAGCACCTTGAATTGCACCCGGAAGCAAACCGGCAACCAATGCAGCTCCCACAGGAGAGGTGAAACATGTGCACAGCGGGGTCTGCACAAAACCATGTGGGCCACTGCATTTTGCACCAACTGGAGCTTCCAAATGTTCTTCAAGGGCAGCCCCATGTAGAGGGTGTTGCAATAATCAAGATGGGAAGTGACTAGGCCATGAGTGCCTGTGAGTAGGGACCACTGGTCCAGGAAAGGGTGTAACTGCTGCACAACCCACAGTTGCGCAAAGGACCTCCTAGCCACGACTGCCACCTGCTCTTTGAGCAGGAGTCATGAGTCCAGGAAAACCCTAGATTACACACAGGGTCTGTTTGGGGTACTGCCACCCCATCCAGAACCAAAGGTGGCAATTCTCCCTGAGCCAATTTTTTTTACTGTGAAAGGAACAAATTAAAGCTGTGAACATTACAAACATAGGACAATTTATTTTATTTCTAAATACATGATCTTTAGAAATAATATCATGTACATTTATAAGAGGAATTCTGGTTCCCCAGTGTGTCTCAAACTCCATTTGTGAATGAAATTGAAATTTATTTCTATTGAAATTTCAGATCAGTCCTTCTGATCCAGATAGAAAAAATTATCATCCTATGAAAAGACACAGAATTAGATCCTAAATATCCTATTTGGGACAGAGAATACTTTTCTGAAGTTAAATCAATGTATTTTTAGTGCTCATCTCCATTCCCCATTGCTATAATGAAGGTCTGACCAGAAGACTTTTTATCCTAGCTTTATTAATAATATATGTGTGCACTGTGACTGAGGAAACCTCTCTTTAGCCAGATTTGATACCTTCCCACCAATGCTTATTGAGGCAAGATATAATAAATCTCCAGTTCAAGATTGCCCATTTGAAGAACCTGAGCCATGCACATTTCACAGTACTCCCCATTTCACAGAGCTGATTTAATAATGCTTTTGATATCTAACCATCCTTGTAGGTCAGATGAAGAGAATGTACTTTTCTACTGGCTGATTTATTCCCTGGAAATCTGCAGATGGATGGTTAAATTCTGTTCTACTGATATTGCTGAATGTGGGCTTTGGAAATAGCTATGCTTTGCTGATTTACAGACTGGATTGCTTAATGTAGTACATTGTTTGAGCAGTTTTGTATTTCTTTATCCTTCATCCTTTATCCTTTATCCTTACCAGGCTAGAAGTTCTCACACTCTGAATTCATTTTTCTGTATATATAAATGCTCACTTTGGCTGTTACAAAAAGCCAGCTTCATCCTAGCCTAAAGAATACATATTCAGAACTAAGGTAGAGCTCAAAATATTATAGATAACATCTTGATAGTTCAATAGTTTCTAGCTTTTCCTGCCAGAATCCTAGAAATCCCAAACTTAAGGGAAAATATGAATGATATAGCAATATTTTCCCCCTCAACTCCGATTATTGACTACTTATACTTCTATAGCATACAGAGCTAGTCCTTTCTGTATTTCTAAGCATTGTAGATAATACAACTTATTGATTTTGCCATCATGTTGCTGAATTCAATAGCTGGAACAAATAGCTTTTCTAAAAATGGGAGATTATAGTGGGTCAGATTCTAATTTTAAAGAGAACATTTTTTTTACTGGTTTTCCAGGCTAAGATATTCTGAGACATTTGGATTCATGGGGAATAAACACCCATTAGATAAAGCCTTTTTTTGCCATTCAGGTAATTTCAAAACATAAATATACTATATAGGATTTTCTTGAAAAGGTTTTAGAAAACATCTGATTATATACCGGTACAGGCCTTTGTTTTCATCTGTTTCTACTGAAGCATCATCACACAAGGCACAAAAATAATGGTAACTTCTGCGACAGTGTTTGATCTCACAGCCAATGGTTGCCCCGCTCTTGTGACAGAAACGGCACAGCTGTATGGAAACAAATTGAAACCACTTTTTAAACTGCAGTTTATAAAACCAGGAAGTGGCATTAGACCAGAGGTGGTATTCAGCAGGTTCAGATCAGTTCTGGAGAACCGGTAGCGGAAATTTTGAGTAGTTCAGAGAACTGGCAAATACCACCTCTGACTGGAGATTTTACAGTATCCTTCTCCTGCCACGCCCATCAAGTCACGCCCACAGAACTGGTAGTAAAAAAAAATTGAATCCCACCACTGCATTAGACCCATTTACTTCTCCTTCACTCATCACATGCTGGCTTCTATGCTGTGATCGTGTTTAAACTAAACCATTTAGAATAGGCGGGATGTGTCATGTGCTTGCCATGCCCCTGCTCAGTTTAGTGAAGGAGGAAAAGTCCTGATAAGTCATGTGACAACACTGTGACGTGAGTTTGATACCTCTGATTTAGAGTAAAGTGTAATCTCTGTTTTGTAACAAGAATATGAAACCACATGGGAGTTGTATTTACTAATATCTTGACCTGAAATGGATTAAATAAGAAAAAGTATTTGCCTTGCCGCTTTCAGACAGCCAATGGTTGTTATTGGACAGGGGCTGTTAAGCTTATTTTGTTTAATTGCTACTCATGATGACAGCCTATGTAACTAGGGTTCCATAAAGATTTGTGTTTTCTAGTTCAGTTAAATAACACTGCTCCACTGCAGGAAGGTGTTAACTGATGAAACCATGTTATTTTTATTCATTTTTCTCTGTCAGTTTCCCCCTACACAAACCAATTTACACTCCCAGTGTTTTAAAATGAGGGAAAAAACAGCAGTAGCATCAAAATTTCTATCAATGAGAGAGGGGGACTACTAGACTATTGGTTCGTATTATAATCTTTAGGTCTCCAAAGTGGATATTCCAAATGCTTAATGTGAAAATAAATTATTTTAAGTAATTCTGATACAGAATTTTAAAACATGAAAAATGTCTTACCAGTTTCTTTCCTCTCTTTATTTCCTTCATTACTGAAACCACGTCAAATCTTTTATCAAGATCCTCTGTGTTCTGTTCTTCCGTTTCCACAAATGCTGAAGAAAATAACTAGAAATGAAATTAAAAAATAAGATTTAAAACAAGAGGACACGACAAAAAAAAATGTTAAAAATAGCAGCAAGAATTGGCTGGGGATCAGTGCTACCTCATAAATTTATGAAGTTTTAGCAATTTCTTCTGTCAGTTTACTCATCCACAAAAATAACCATTATCACTCTGGATGCTCCATGGTCTCATACTTAATATAGGGGAGGAATCCTAAGTGATGTTAAGAAAAATTTCAGCAAAATGGTAAAAAAATGAATGAAAAAAGCATGTGCCAAAATGATAGAAAAAAATATATATCAGTGTCCCTATGCCTGCCTGATTAGGAAGCATATAACTCTTAGCATTTAACCACTGGAGCTGTTCTTCCTATCTCATACACTTTCCCTAGTTTCCTTGAAAACACTCAACAGATTTTATGAAGAAAAAAATGTTAAAACCTTCTAAGATATTTAATATAAGGTCCTGTCACCCCAAACAGCCATTGCTGAGAGCTATAGATATTGGTACTGTGCAGTTTCACCTCTGACATAATGAAGTTACAAGTTTGCAGATAAAATAATATAGCCAGATTATGAAGAATAGCAGTTAATTACTAGCATATAGGTAACAACCTTCATATCCTCAAATGGGAATTCAAGAACATTGAGAATACAGTTTGGGGGTAGTACAAAACATTAATGAAAATCTTCTGGCTGGCAGAAGCAGCTTTTGTACAGAGTACAGTGTTGTCCCTCTGTCTCTTACTCATAAACTCCCACTCATTTCTACTGACTAATCCAGAGAAGAATATGTTCAGCAATTATTCTCTTGAGCAATATCTTGCTGAGAAGATGGAAAGCAGCATCTGTGGCTGCAGAGAACTTACTTAGAAGAACAATACTGGTAAGTATTAAGAAACTAACTGTTTTGAATTTTGAAAACATATTTTGGGTGTTCTCTTAAACAGTTGCTGGGGGAACAGCATGCCCAATCACAGAACGGCTATTCTTCTATTCACCCTTCCATAGAACACCATTCTTCTTCCTTCCCTTTCACCTTTTTCCAGACAAGGAGGCATATTTCAGAGCAAAAGGTTTCATCTACTCATGTTATCTGTTTTCCAAGCAAGCCTATGGTCCATATTAATTTTTTTCCAATGTGAAAAGACAGAGGGAGAAAGGAATTTGTTGAGAAGCAAGGAAAGTCTTTACAATCATAAGGAACCCCAGACAGTGAGTCAGGGGGTTTGGAGAAAACGGGTATTGGAGAAGACACGGTTCAAGGAGGAGGTATTCCAAGAAAAACTGTTCAAACTCCTAAATTTTGATACCTAATTATAAGAAGTTTACCACTTTGCTTGAAAATCATTCAGAAGAAGTTTTGTGAAAATATCATCTCCAAATTCCCCATCTCTAAATCCAACTGCAGAATGGATTGAATATATTTTTTCTTTTCTGGTCCTATTCTCTCACTTCTACTTCTGCCAATGTGAGGACTGCGATTCCAGTCCTCCAGTCCTTCCATAGGAAGATTTTTGAATTAAAAAAAAAAAGCAGAATATAAAATATAAGCATTATCCAAGCTTAGAATAAATACACAGTATTATAAAGCCTAACTTGTTTCCATGTGATTCTTTTTTTCTTCAGAGTATATTTAGAAAACCTTGATATATATACCTCTCAAACTTTTAGCCTGGATACCCAAAACTTTCAAAACCCCTTTCTGAGCCCCTCTCGATTCAGCTAGACTACAAAGCTGTCCATGGCATGTTCTCTTCCTCTCCCTGGGACTCTAGTCACAATTCACTTTTTCATCAGGAAGGGACAAATCAGTTTCTCCGGGAGCCATCACTTTTCCCAATGGAGAAGTAAAAAGAGAAGCAAAGCCAGCACACTAGAAGCTATAGATTCAGGGGAAGCGGGATGCCTTGAAAATCCTGCTCTCTGGGCCTTGATCCTCAAGGAGAAAAGTGAGGGGAAAAGGCTCCCTCCCTCTCATTGTCTATCAATAAAAGGATGCATATACACAAGGCAAGAAACTGGGAGTTCTTAGTCCTATTTTAGCCATGAAAGTCAGCTGGGTGATTTTGAGCCAGCCACTCTCTCTCAGCTCAACACACCTAACAGGGTTGTTGTTGTGGGGACAATAGGAGGGAGGAATATTAGATATGTTAGACACCTTAAGTTATTCACAGAAATAATAAAGGCAGGATATTAATTAATTAGTTAACATACAGTTCATGTAATCTGCAAAATATGGATTACATGAACATAAAGAAAGGCATAAGGAAAGGGACAAATAGAGGAATGGACTCATGATTTATTATAGCAATTGCCTGAACTGGTCATTTATGCTCCTAAATAATCTCTGCTGTATTTTAACATACCACTATAAAAATATTATTTTTATAGAATTATCAGAATTATAGTACTTCTGACCTTCCAAAATAATGGTCTTCTTGTACTCCAACCAGGAAAGTATTTACATTTTAACTCTTGATATTGTAGTGCATACCTATAAAACTATAGGACATGTGGTATAAAAGAAATAGGTGTATCAATTATGAATTGTGCTTCAGGTCTTTTTTCAGGTCTTTTTCATTTTCCCATCAGTAAACACAGTTTGAATGTCACTAGCAAACCTCACCAAACAGTCCTGATGAACTGCAAGATTCTGCTCTTCAGCGACGTACATAATCGCACATGGTTCACCGTTTGGACAAAGCGCACACTTCCTTCTCATCATCTTTGCCATTACTGGAGTCACCTTAGAAAAATATTTTACAGATTAAAACAATATTAACCCATCACCCCAAGGCTCTAAAGTCTAAACAGTACATTTTTAAAAACCCACTACTGCATTTCACAAGCTAGTATCCTCTAGCGCTACTGATATTTTGCTTTGAATGTCTTGACATGGGGCTCAAAAATATTTAATTAGAAAAATGCTTAAATCTGTCTGTGAACTTCTACCAGGTCCTCTAAAAAACTTTAAGATATTTTTCAAGAAGAGCAAAGAATCTTTATGTGCGGTTTCATAAGATGAGAGACCATTACTTGGTTATAGGGGTAAAAAAACATTTTTCCTTGCATATTCAAGATGCACTTTCTAGCATTTTCAGTTGTAAACTCCTACATAGTATTTTTGGTCTAATACCTTGGAAGGTTGCTCTCAGTTCTGTTTGTGAAACGGGTACTGTACATGAGTTAAAACACAAATATAAAGGTAACGAGAACAAAGCTAGAAATTAAAATGAGTAGCCTGTTTCACAGGATAAATTCAAATTTGACACACACAGACACCATAATTTCATAACAGTAATAATATTAATTTTGGAAATGAAGAAGATCAGATCAATCCATTACCTGCCAAATACACAGAGTTGTCTCAAGGGGAACTTTGGATGTCAGATAATACCCAATTTATCATATCCTCAGTACAGCCAGCCAATCTCGTTTTAAATTTGGCAATACAAAACTGGTGGGCAACATTGTCCAATTCTAAACTGCTTCCAGCCAATTTAGATAAGCTTTTCAAAGAAGCACCTGGGCACTTATTGCCATGCAGTTTTCATTCTGTAGATTTCTACTTTATACTCCTAAAAGCAGAGTTTTTGCAATAATTAGACAGAATCTGACATCAGTGAGGCAGAGGAACAGGGGGAGCCTGTTCCCAGTGTATGCTTGCGCAGAGCTGCCAGAAGGCAAGAACAGTTAAGACAAAAGGGGCGACTCAGGAGTAAGGCTTGGAGATGATTGGCCCCTCCCATAAGACATAAAGGTGGAGCAAAGGTACAGGAGCTTTTGCAGGAAGCAACTTTGTTCCTTCTGGTTGGTTTAAAATCTGAAGCTCCGTGTTGACTTTGTACTTCATTTGGCCTTGTGCAATTAGTGGCAAAATCAAATTCACCATGGAAACGGAAACAAACAAACAATTACCATTCCTAGATGTAGGAAAAAACAGATGGCACACTAGGACACACCATATACCAGAAGAAAACA